CCTGAAAATGAACGTATACAAGGTATGTTTCCGGCTCGATGAGGGTGCGTTGTGTTCACGGGAAGGCGAAGATGGTAGCAATGACTTTGTGTTTGCATGGTCATTGGGATTTGGGTGGACTTGGTATGGTCTGTGTTTGTGCTCAACCGCAAGTGACCTGAGTATAGTAGGGCTGTTGAGTCCAAATGGTGATCCCAGTTGGATGTTTGTAAGAAACAAAGGGAAAATGTTGATTATGCCCCTCGAAGATGCATAATTTGCCTTCTGCCCCTCAAACGGGCGGCTTACGCTGGCATGCGCCTTAGCTGGGAGTCTTCCAGCAGGCCCAAGCCGGAGGGCGGGGCAACATTGTGGGAAGGGTGGATTGCAATTTTCCGTCCAAGCTCATAATGGGCATAAGTACCGGGGCATCTGAAATAGTTAAGTGGATGTCGGTAGGGACATACTGAAAAGATGTCAGGTCCAAGGACACTGGGCACATTTAGGCAAAAATGGAACCACCGTCGGAGGGGAAAGCCAATGCAAGCCGGGTGTTTTTTTTTGAGGGGCAGAATCCGAAAAAAATGCATTTTTGAGGTGCACAACGAAAAGGAAAAGTCTCCAAAAATGTGTGAAAATCAAATGAGCTGAGTTTAATTAAAAAAAAAAAAAAATCTGATCCGTGGTCCATCGGGCCACATTAAAAAAAAAAAAAAAAAAAAACGAAAATGACGAAAGAGCTGGTGCACGTGGCGCCTGTAGAGTGCGTTGGGACTGCTGTCCACTTGGCGTAACGGCGTCGGGGGCAAGGTCCCGTTTACGTGGATCTTCTGTTTGTGGCAATCGATCTCATCCATCTACGGCCCGGGCACGATGAATCTGTCCCTTTGTATTCATTTCCTCCCCCCAACCGGGCAAAAAGTGCCGCGGCCCCCAAAACGACTTTTGGCGTCATTTTTTTGCAGCCTGTAGTAGTCCCATCAGTGCCAGCGACCTCCAATCCCAGCAGTGGCCCCAAAAGACCAACGGTCCATTGTCCCACGATTGCGATGAAAAGATTCAGATTTCCCGAATCGGGAAAAGTTATAAAACCTCCCCGCCACGAAACCTTTGTATTCATTTCCTCCCCCCAACCGGGCAAAAAGTGCCGCGGCCCCCAAAACGACTTTTGGCGTCATTTTTTTGCAGCCTGTAAAACACTTTCCCGCCATTTTTACACAGCGGGCGTTACCGGCCCAGCCAGGGTGCAAAAAATGACAGGAAAAGCCATGTTGGGGCATGTGACACTTTTTGCCCCGTTTTGGGGGGAAATGAATACAAAGGTTTCGTGGCGGGGAGGTTTTATAACTTTTCCCAAAATAGTTATTATCTGCCCCAAATGAAAGTAAAGGTAATACAGAGACGATTAGCATGGCCCCTGGGGCCTCGTCCCACTAGCATCGAGTAAATCGGTGTGTGGCGTTCTTTTCTCATTTAAAAACTCATAAACAATGCTTTTTATCATTTACACGAATGCAAAGAAAAGGACCCAAAAAACGAAAAATTACGGGGCCTGACATCGACATCATGACAGAGCTTCAGTGCATCCACACTTCCACCAACCCCGTACATCTGCATGCGACCTTCCCGCCGGCCTTTTCGCAGTCTTCCACGGAAATCTCAATTTTCTCAATTTTACCACATAAAAAAAGAAAACAACATCGATGCAAAAACGCCCCCCCCCC